CAAGGCCATCAGCCTAAAGTCCGTAGCGTCACTGTTTCAGTGTGTCAGTCGGTCGCTGCGTCGCTAATACGTCGCACGTGTAAATTTGATTTAACCCCCCCGCGCCGCGTGCCGTGCCAATATTCAACGCCGCTTATTTGTGTTTTAGGTACCTAGTTGTAGTTTTTGTGCGGAGTGTGTTTTAGTTTGTAATTATGTCGTACACAAACGTTCAGTGGAGTGAAGGCTCGACGAATGTACGCAGAACTATTCCCTGGAAAACCTGTGCCAAATCGTGAAACTTTGTTGGCGGCCACGCAAAGGTTACGTAGCTATGTACAGTTTACCGTGCCGGTTCATGCTCAGGGGCGTGGCAACCAGCAGCTGCCAGTTACCCTTCAAGAACATATCTTGGATTTCTTCGCGGAGAACCCAGAGGAGAGTACCAGGCGGGCGGCCTGTATTTTCGGTGTTTCTCACTGGACAATTTGGAAAATTCTACACATTGATCGTCAACATCCGTATTATTTTCAGCCGGTTCAAGAGTTAAATGAAAACGACCACATACTGCGGGTGGTATTTTCGCAATGGCTTGTTCAAAACTTTGATAACGTTTCCATTTTATTTACGGACGAAGCAGTGTTTACAAGGTCGGGCATTTACAACGTTCGTAATGAACATTACTGGAGTCGGGTAAACGAACACCGAATACGGCAAAACAGTTATCAGCACCGTTTTTCCGTAAACGTGTGGGCGGGAATTCTAGACGGCAAACTTCTTGGACTCTATTTTATTGACGGCCATTTGAATGCACAGTCGTACATGGCTATTTTACGACATGTATTCGACAGGATGTTGGAAAATGTGCCTCTTCATTCAATGAGAAACCTCTACTACCAACATGACGGTGCCCCTGTACATTTTCAGCTGCAAATCAGGAGTTTCCTGGGCGATGGATAGGACGTGGAGGGCCAGTGGCGTGGCCAGCGCGTTCGCCCGACCTTACCCCGCTGGACTTTTATCTTTGGAGAGAAGTGAAGCGCCGAGTGTATGCAACTAAGTTCCGTAATACGTCCGAACTCAAAAGGCGAATTCTTAGTGTGTTTAGAGAAATGACACTGTTGTGCTTCTAGCTTTTACGATTAATGTAAAAGCTGATCAAAATGGGATTCATTTACGAGGAATTTATTTATTAGGTAAGTGTAAATAATCAATCAATCAGGCTACACATCAAGCTATTAAACCAGTTTTTCTTGGCCTCGCTTTGTATGATCTTTCCGTACAATGAACGGTCAGCTTATGCTTCAAATGCCCTTTGCGTTCTAGGGCAGCGGTATCCTGCTAAGAGAGTCTCGGGACCCCGGTTCCTTGATTGGACGGCGAGCTACCCATTGGTTTTGCATAACTTAATGTGTAGCCGTGTGTGCATAACATTATGATTAACCTTTTATATATGCCAAAAATCTTACGTAATGATTTACTATTATTAATGTTTAATTTTCTTTGTTGTTAAATCTAACTTACATTAATTTGGACTCGTCACACAAATGGTAGGAATTTTTACCTGTCCTAAGCCATTGCGAAAGTATGAAGGAAAAGTTACATCATAGGTTATGTGTACCATTGTTTTTATTGAAATGTTGTGTAGGTAGCAGTGATTACGTCACTCGAGCGCATAGGGTATCCATGAATTTACGGATGGTGTCGGACAGAAACTTTTTTAATTTTATGAAAGAAAATAGTGTTTTTTTAAAAAAAATCGGATAAATATTTTTATATTAAAGGCAACTACCTATGGTTTCAGTGACAACGGTGTTTACACTTACACACTGTATATTTTTTATATATATATATATATATATATATATATACACCCCAATTAGTATATTATGTTATAATCATAATACATACACTGAATTTTTAGTTAAACATTTTATACACTGATTATTTATCAAATTAGTTATACTAATTCCGGAAGAATGTTGTGGTCACAGTACAAATCCACGAACGCAAAGACTTTAACGTGCTTGAAATAAAGTTCATTTTTCTTTATTTTTATTGAATGACAGAATTAGTAATAATACAAATAAAACTGCACTCTTAAAACTCTTATTGCCTTAAGTTACGGTCCATTTCAGTTTGTTTTGACTGTACAGATTTAGTGTGACTGTAATTTACGTAGTTTTAATTATTTTTGGGATAAAAAATTACTTATATTAAAAATGATAGGAATCGATTCAGTAAACGATTTTGAACAAACTACTTTCTCAAAGTGCGTTAATTATGTTACATGTTGTATACATATACATATATATATATATATACAATAATATTAGTTTATTTTTAAGTTTTATTAAGGTGCAATAAAGTTTAAATAAATAAATAAAATAAATAAATGGGAATTTGGTTCTTAAGAATATTTGCGTGTGATTAATGAACAATGCAAAATAAAGAATTATTAATAAAATTTTAGTCCCTTAGTCGCATTTGATTATTTCCTGAGTCAAATTAAAATAAAACTTAAATTAATCTAAGAATAATTGCATTTTATTGAGACTAGGCCACTTTACCCAACCTGGGTAGGTAAAGTAGTCAATTTCCCATTTCGGCTTTAAACTACAAAATACTATAAAATGTCTTGATATAAGTCAAAATAAAAATGTGATGTCAAAACTACATTAGTTTGAGAGAATACATTAATAAAGTAAGGTGAATTTTTTTGATATTTATCTAATAGGCAGTCATTCAAGCCTTAGGGTGGCCACTTTACCCGACCCCTACATATCCCACGTTGAAACAATGTCAATCTTCACTATGCTGATAATGTAAACCCTTGGCACGATAAGACCGACATCCCCTTAGGACATATGGTCGCCTTTTTAGACAACATAAAAACATAAAATACATAAACACTCACGCCTGTCACTCAGAAGGGTAGGCAGAGACTACAGACTTCCATTTGGCACCATCCTGACACGCCTCCTTCATATCCATATACCCACGCATACATGCTTGTCGGTTAAGGGTTTTTTTTATAGAAAAGGGGGCAAACGAGCATGCGGCTCACCTGATGTTAAGTGACTACCACCGCCCATGATCAACCGCAACACCAGGGGAATTGCAGGTGCGTTACCGGCCCTTAGAAAGGAGTAAGCTCTTTTCTTGAAGGTCTCCAGGTCGTATCGGTCCGGAAAAATCGCCGGTGGTAAACTATTCCACAGAGAGGTTTTGCGTGGAAGAAAAATCCTTTTGAAACGTACAGTGGTGGACCGCCAAGCATCCAGATGGTGTGGATGGTATCGGGACGTTTGCCGCGTGGTGCGTTCACGAAATTTGGCGGCTGGGATTAATCCGAACAATTCCTCAGAGCACTCTCCATGGTATATGAAAAAGAAAATGCAAAGAGATGCAGCATCTCTTCGCAGCACCAATGAATCGAGCCGATCGGAAAGCACTCGGTCGTCGACGATTTGAGCCGCTCTGCGCTGGATGCGGTCAAGTGGAAGGAGCTGGTACTGGGGAGCCCCAGCCCAGAGATGGGAACAGTATTCCATGTGCGGCCGAACCTGCACGTTGTAAAGTTGCAGGCGGTGTGCCGGCATGAAATACTGTCCCGCTCTGCTGAGCATGCCAAGCTTTTTGGAGACCAATTTGGCCTTCTCTTCCAAGGGACCACGAAACTGCACGTCACTCGATAAGTCGACGCCGAGGATTCCGATACTGGCTGAGGCAACAACGGGTGTGCCTTGAAACTAAGGAGATACGACAAAGGGGTTCTTTTTAGCGGTTAACGCGCAAACTTGTGTCTTCGGGGGGTTAAACTGGACTAGATTTAGTCGCACCCAATCCGAGACTCTGTTCAGCAAAGACTAGACTTCAGACACAAGTTTGTCCAGGTACTTGGAGACGTTTTTCCGAGAAATATTGGCTCGGCCGGTGTAAAGAGCATCACCAGTGCTGTCATCTGCATAGCAATGAATGTTACGGGTTTGCAACATATCATTGATATGCAGAAGAAACAGCGTTGGCGATAGCACGCAGCCTTGTGAAACACCAGCACTAATAGGCTTGCAATCGGAGCTAGCACCGTCTACAACGTACTTGATGCTCCGATCTTCAAGAAAGCTGGTGATTGCTTGCTTGGTTGATGGCTTGGGTACTCCTAATTTGGACCGTTTTCAATAAATCGCCAATTTGGTCGATAAATTTTCGCATAGGACGTCCCTTTCCGACTCTGTCATTCACTTCTGCAACATAAATTTTCTTTGTCACTCTTTTCTCAGTCATTCTTTCCACATGACCAAACCGCGAACAAGCTGCCAAATTCGAGGATTACTGTATTTTCTCCTCGAACCTTAGATAAACCTTTAATATCTTAGTACCACTTGTTTTATCTTCTTCTAAATCTAGAATCATATTTTAGTATTCCGCGTGCATGATGAACCTTCGCCAGAAATCCTTAGCCCCTTCTGTGCCGCCGTTAACGTGTTCGGCCAACTTTTCAATAGAATTGACTAGTTTTTGAAGTTGCGAAATAGTTTAAGGCCATTTAAACTCCTCAATGAAACTCTCTCTTTAACTTTTTTAGGGTAGTTACTGACTTTGTGGTGCGCATCCCTACTCTTACCTAACTACACCCACAAATGTGACGCATGAACTTATTTGTTAAGAATTGAAATGTGAACAAAATACTTGTCAGACTATGCTGTATAAACATAGATACTTTTGCTTTTGAATAAAAAGCCAACAACTTATGATATAACAATGTCAACAATTTGTTTCGCTTTGCTTATTTTGATATAACCAGATATAACACATGTTTTATCAACAGCCGTAAAATTGTCATCATTGTTGCCCCAAATTGTCGTATGATTGGGTAATTGGGTTATTTGATAAGTCGAATATCGATTTTCAAGATAGGATATTCTTTTTTATACTTCAACTCAGCGGTAATGGCAATCAGTTTGAAACACATAATAAACTGTTGTAAATTAATTAAGAAACAAAGTATTCGAACTATAATGACATCATCTGCTAAACTTGAGAAAGCTGTGGAACAATTGCAAAAGAATCCTTATTATGAAAAATACGCGGATCGTATTGCAGCTTTGCAGAAAACTTCTCCTGAAGAGTTCTTGCAAAGATTAGAAAAGCAACAAAAAATAAAAGATGAAGAGAAAAAAAAGAAGTTTAGTCCTATTGATACCAGGTGAGGTAAATTTTTACATTCAACTCTTTTTTACTAATATTATAAACATTGGTATATTAGAATACGTTTTTGTTTTGTAATAGGCAGTTTTCTTCAGTTTTAAATCCCAAAAAAGCTCTACAGAGTGATTCAACAGTGGAAGATAAAAAGCTTGACACTATTTTTAAACTTGATCTGGTTAAAGATAAAGATGCATTGGAAATCCAAAGTATATGGGAAGAATATCATAAAAACAAGGAAGTTATATCAGCAATAATTCCAGTGGAGCTATATACTACACTCCAACAGAAAATGCGGGAGTATCCTACGTTCATATTCCCACTGCCTCGCTCGCAGGGCTATGAGTTTATCATGAGTCAGTGCTATGGACAAGCAGTACACTTTACTCCCCTCCTTGCATTTCAGGTTTGGGTATTTATTTATATTTATTGAAACCATAAATACTTTATGATCATTCGATGAATGAAAATTAAACAAGTAAAGTTTGTAATTTTTCAATAGGTACATAAAGAAAATGCTCCTGAATGCTTAACAATGGTGCATTATACAGAACTGAGCGACAAAGGAATTATTCTCATGAGAGGTGAATATGACAAGGTAAATTATAATTTTTATTATTTAACCTATTTTCCATGTCTATGCTTAATTAAATACGTGTTTTTATTTACTGATAGTGTGTACTTTCACAGCAATCCCATATAAAATCTTTACCAATGCAGGTGATTTTCTGATTATATTTAAGTAAGTTTAAGTTTCTAAAGTAGATTGGTATACTTGATGTGCCATTTAGATATTTTATCTCACAAAAGTGGGTGAGTCTGCTGCTTAACAAAATAGACATTAATTATTTTCTTACATCACTGTGAACTAATACAACTTTTCTCCATTATCTTGCTTATGCACACCAAAATGTGCACCTACAACCCATCATCCCACCATCATGTGATAAAAATATTGTGATATTTCAAAAGAAACATAAAATACAAAATGTGGCATATACACAAATATTATTGTATTTTAAAATTTCCCCATCTGTAGTTAATATTTTAAATAAAATGTAAAGTAATTTCATAACTTTTTTTCAGAATGTATTAAATGGTCAAGAAGCACAATGTTTGGCAAATCAATTTCAAATGTATTTTTGTGGTAAAGATAAAGCAAAACTTCAACTCTTGGAGACATTCAATAAAAAACCTGACTCGTTCAAACATATGGACCTCATTTCAGAATTAGAGAATATTAGCCTTGTGTGATCTTTTCTATCAATAAAGTTATTGTTTTGAATATTTATTTCATTTTGTGTAAATAATTAGAAATCTCATTTAGATATTTTGCGGACCATTATTCCTAATTTCACATATTATTATTAACCCTTCAATCCATGCATCAGGCAAATCCTGAGCGGTCGCATGCAACCGCACCCACCAACAGCACTTTAAACCATTAAAACTTATATTTAGAGACTACTTTTCTATGAAGAAGTTTGGCTTTATAAAATCTATACAAAATTCTCTATGTTGTGGTCTAAACAAAAGACAGGTTTTACTTCATTGCAAAAAGATTTTTTGTATTTTGATAACAAAAAAAAAACATACCAAGTGGATGTTGGCAGTATGAAAATCACAATTATTTGTATATATATTACTCGAATTTATTTACGTAAAAAGATATATATATTGAAGATATGATTATATTGACATAAAACTTTCATTACAATTTTATAATAAAACACTATACTAAAACACTAGAAAAATCCAAAAATCAACAAAATAACATTCACACAAAAATGGTGTATGAAATGAACGTAGATTATAAATAAATATTAGAAAAGAAAATTTCATATGGATTCTACAATGCCAAACTTTTTCATAGAAAATTAGTCTCTAAACATAAATATTTATGGGTTAAAGTACTGTGGGTGGGTGCGGTCACATTTGACCTCATCAATTTTGACGGAATATTGAAGCGGTCACATTTGGACGCTTGCCATTTGAGAGGTTAATTTACATATTATAGATAAAAAATTACTGATTTAGTTTATGTGGGAAATACACATATTCAGGAGTGTCATGTATGAATGAATTAGATTTATTATGTGTGTTCAAAATTGGCAGGGGTGAGTTAGGACTACTACTTGATACAGATGTAATGCTTTTGCAAGACCCATGTTGTTGCATTGCATAACCCTGTCTTATGTAGTTCATCGGATCTTCTTCAATTATTTTCTTAGGAGAAAAATATTCATCTGTATTTGTGTTTTCATCTCTGCCCCTATGTAAATTATTTGTCATACAATGAAATATATTTTGCTCAGTTTCACGACGGCACCCCTCTAAATACAGGTTTTGTAAAAATAATTTTTTTTTCATCATGATATCTTCCCTAATTAATGAAGGTGTTTTTTCCACAAAATATCTGGGTATGTAGTTTATAAATTCTTCATATAACTGTTGGTCATCACTAACTTGTGGACTTCCGATTGAAGATGTTGCTAATGTGATTGGAGATTCTGATTTTTCTAAGGAAGTTGTTGTTATTCGCATCTCCACTGGACTGAACATTACAGGACTATCTAATAAATTTCTTTTATAATTCATGCTATTTTCTTTGCTACTTGCACTATTATCACTTAAAACCTCCATCACATTATTTTTACTACTATTAGCAGGCATGTTGCTTGAACATTTTTGGTTATCAATGCTGGCAGTACCCATTTGTCGAGTAATACTAGTTTTATAAACAGTTTTTTTATTTTTATTGAATATAGTCTGTTTTTTCATTATTGATAAATCTGGTCTCGTTATAGTTTCAGATCGAACAGCTTTATGAAACAGATTTAAAGTAAGGCGACTTGATGCAATACAATTTTTTTTTGCCTCATTTTGTAAATTATTTGCTGAATCACTTAGATTATTGGAAATCTTGTCTTCTGGTTTTCCATGTAATCTTTTTCGCAAATCATTTAGGCTTTTTCGGGTTTTGCGTTTCTTACGTTTAATTTTGTTTGACAATGGTTCCATAATTACTTCAACTTCAGACTTGAGTATGATGTAATAAGTAATGTTTTCAACGTCATTAACAATCATTACCTATACAGAAGGTGAACTATAATGATTATTAATATATTTTATTACCATGGTAAAATTTGATAAATTAACATCAATCATCAATTTTATTAACTTTTAAATAGTAGTAATTTAAATTCAAATTACCGCCCCAACAATTTTTTCTGTTTAACTGGTTTTATAGCTCTGGGTTCTAGCCCTTCTGAGTCTATCATTTCTTTCGGAATCTTCTTTTTTATATATTTTTGTTCACAATATGCTGATGCTACTAACTAAACATTAGTGATGTTCACAGACTACTACAATATTACAAATAGACTATTATAAATAGCTTGCTGCATATCTAATTATCTGCGCTACTCTTTGAGTATTAAAAGAAAAGGAGACGGCACCGCAAGGCATACCCCTCTGTAAAAGGTACGAGAGTCCAACTTATAGCCGTTATACAAAACTAGTTGCTCCGCTTTGTGCGCCAGTATGCAAGTGATCGTGCTGGTCAATTGAGCTCCGACAAAAATACCAAATTGCAGTGTATTTTCATGCAAAAAACAATCAAAACCGTTAAATCTACTAAAGGACAACGTGGCTTTTCATCTGTAAATACTTTAAACGTAATATTATCGTTAAAACGCGTATTTTCTGAATATTTTCGCAAAATACCAAGTTGGCAGCACTTGGTAGCATAGTTCATGAAGTGAAAAGTAAGCGATTTTAAAATAAATATTATTTACTACACAAAATTAATATATTAACGAAATTTTATTTCATATTAACTAAATCAGTTTGTGATGAATAATAATCATTACATTAAGATGTGTAGTGGATTTTGTCAAATTATTTAAATATTCAGCTCAATCCCAACACGATTCCGAATATATTATAATTAAATATAATCGATAACTAGTTTCTAACAAAATATTATACAAAATAAAGGCCGAATAAGTCGAATCGAAACTTTGAAAACTTGTTTAATTTTACAAAAAATATGCAATTTTTGTAAAATTAAACTGGTATTTATTTATTTATTTGGTCTACCAACGACTGTTACATTACAGAAACTTAAAGTAGTTACATTGTAATAAACTATTATGAGCTAAATGCAAAATCAGTTACAGGTAAATACAACGTGCTATTTTAACATGTGACATAAGTACCTTTTATACGAGTATGATATTTATATTATATAATATGATTATATGATATAAGGTTAATTTTAAACTAGTTATAACAGGTAAAAGATAGGTGTAATTAATCTGGGATTTTTTTTAACAAATGTGCACGAAACTGGTTAAGTTTAAGAGAGAAAACATTCTTAGGATCATTAATAAACTACGTATCTAATGCGTTACACAGACGAGGAACTGGTGAATGTTTTTCTAAAACAGTCCTGCGGAATGGCGGATAAAATAGAAAAACGGGTTTCCTTGGAACCCTGAAGGGGATCCTGAAATTAAAAAGGTTTAGAAGCTGAGGGCAGTCAATTTGATTATAATTTTTTTTATAAATGAATATTAGGTCCAAAAGGGTCCTTATTTATTCAACGAGGACATTTTAAAGTGTTTGAGGTTTTCATGATAGGATAACTTTTTCTTTGAAACTTTGGAGACGTGAGATAGATGCCATAAAAAGCGTTTTTGGACCCGTTCTATTCTTAATATGTGCGTGGCATAGTGTGGCCTCCATACAACAGGACAGTATTCAAGAAGACTACGTACTAGTACTTTGTACAAGGTGATACGTGTTTGTAAGTTTTTGAACACTTTACTGTTTTTAATAATAAAGCCAGGCATATTAGATGAGCGCCTAACAATGCTTTCAATATGTGGTACGAAAGTTAATTTGTTATCTAGAATTATTCCCAGGTACTTAATTCTATCAATTTATTTTAATGGTTTGCCATCAATATAATATTTGGATTTAGTTTTACTATGTTTGCGTGTAAATTTAATAAAAAAGCATGTATCTATATGAATTCCATTCCATTTGTACAGCACCAATTGTATAACCTATTTAAATCATGTTGTAACAAAAGAACATCAGCTTGGGACTTAATAGTTCTGGCAATTTTCAAATCATCTGCGAATAGATAGGGCGTTGATGAAAGGAAACTATTGAGCATATCGTTGATATATACGTTAAAAAGAATTGGCCCCAAATGGGATCCTTGAGGAATTCCTGAAGTTATCTTGTGAGCTTCAGACTTATAGCCTTTAGCAACAACGAAGAAACGTCTATTCGTTAGATATGAATTAATCCAGTTGGCAAAATTTCCTGTAAAGCCATAGGCAGCAAGTTTGTCTATAAGAGGTAAGTGGGGTATTTTGTCGAAGGCCTTGCTGAAGTCTGTGTACACAACGTCTACTTCCTCCTGTTTATCTAGAGCTTTAGCAATTCCTTCGACAAATGTGACTAAGTTTGTGCAAGTGGAATCACTGCAACCGAAAGTATTGCAGTGTAGTGATGTACGTCACAATTTTAGCTATCGATAAGTTTATAAACCCATTTGGGTTTGTCTGCCGAACAGGTTTTTATTTTTTGTTTAGATTTTATAATAAAGTATTACAAAAAGTAGTAATTTTTTTATTGATTTAATAATAATAATAATAATAATAACAAATAATAAATAACAGTAGTTTATTCAGTAAATGATCATACATAAATTATAACCTGGAATGAGGTCTCCTTTTAAGTATAAAATCATGAGTTAGGAGTCTCCACTCTTCCATAGCACTTACATTATTATTTGCATAATCTTAACTTAATAATTAACTATAAAATTAAATAAAAAATATTAATATCTTCACCGACCAGCTGTCGCCCAATTTCACTTTGAAGCGTGATGTCTAAGGTTCTCGAAAAAATATTCAACAAGCGATTAATGAACTATTTAGAAAATAATGAGCTTTTAGATAAAAGCCAATTTGGTTTTCCTGCCAACAGGTCCACAGATGGCGTTGTCCTCAACTTACTACAAATTATTACACGTTATCTTGATAAAAATGAAAAAGTGATGGGCGTATTCCTCGACCTTCAGAAGACATTCGATACCGTATCTGTTCCAATATTATTAACACGTTTGGAAAATATGGGAATCAGGGGAAATGCAATTATGTGGTTACAGGGCTACCTATCGGATAGAAAAAAACGTGTTAAAGTTAATGGCTTATTAAGTAATTAATTAAGCTCCTATTACGGTGTGCCACAAGGCAGTACACTTGGGCCAAGCCTTTTTTTAATTTACATAAACGATCTGTGTAAAACTAATCTCAAGGGTGCTGATATTCAAATGTTTGCTGATGATACAGTCATACTGTTTCATGGTGAGTCTTGGGAACATGTACATCGTCTTGCTGAAAACGGTCTTCAAACTATTACAACATAGTTAGAAAATAGTTTGCTAACACTCAATACAAGTAAAACAAAATATACGTACTTCAGTAAAACTAATATTAATTCACCCAAATCTTTTAGTTTACAAATCCACTCTTATCCTTGCAATCGATAAGTCAATACCAAGCATAAATCATGTACTTGCTCATTAATTAAAAGAGTAAAAGTTATAAAATATCTAGGAATAAGTATTGATGATAAGCTCAACTGGAAACAGCATTTAACATCTGTTGCTAATAGACTCAGGAAATTAGTTTATGTGCTTAGAGAATTGCGCACTGTTTTAGAACTTACACTATTAATACAAATTTATAAAGCACTTGCGGAATGTGTAATTACATATTGTATACGTTCGTGGGCGGCAGCAGCTAAAACACATTTAATTTCCCCCTTCCCCCCGGACCTCTGAGGAGTACAGACGCGTTTTAAACCGAATCTATCGTTGTTTTCAATTAAATTATTTAAAGTGAATTTTGACAAAATTAATTGAATCCAAAAATTAGGAGTGCATTAACAGGGAAGAGCTTAAACCGACCGTTAGCTCCTGGTACTCGGCGCGTTGAGATATCTGCTGCACCGTCACCGCCCATCGCCACTTACTGCCCGCCCCGAGAGGCGTAGCATCGCCCGACCAATACACTGCGCGTGCACCGCTTGTCCTCTGCATCACCGGTGAGTACCAAGTGAATCGTCGCCACCCCATATCTCCTAGTACAATGCCGCTTAATAGATCGCCTCAGCATTCCGCTTATGACTCAGCGCCAGACATTACGTCTGTACGCGAGACTGACGAGGAATCGGCGTCAAACATTACAAACCGTTTAAAAAGGCGGCGTCAAGACATTGATCTGAATGATTTTATGGAAGAGATTCAGGAATCATTAAAACAAACTAAACAACAACAAGATGCTAAACTCAATTCATTGATGTCTACGATTACCCAAATTAAAGAGCAGAATAATGATATTCGGAATTCGGTTTACTTTATGTCGACTAAATATGAGGAAATAAGAGTAAGATTGGAAGAATTGGAAACAGAACATAGAAGTAATCTTAAATATATTAAAGTGCTGGAACAAAAAATTGAAAACCTATAACGCGGGTCTCGATCTTCGAGCATTGAGTTACGCAATATTCCACATGGGCAACCAGAAACAAAAGAGAACCTTATTAAAATAGTAAAAGAAGTTGGTTTGGTTACAAATTCACCCATCCAGACAGCAGATATTAAGGACATTTTCCGTGTCAAGTCAGGTTCCTCAAAGAACAAACCCATCATAGCTGAATTCACATCAGTTTTGACGAAAGAAAAGCTTCTTAATTCCGTTAAATCATTCAAAAAAATACAGGGAATTAACTACTTCAACCATTAAAATTAAAGGGATGCCTCAGCCCATTTACATCTCCGAGAATCTTACACCTAAGGCCAAGCGCATATTCTATCTGGCTCGAGACTATGCAAAAAATAAAAATTATAAGTATGTTTGGGTTAATCATTGAGTTATTTATTTGAGAAAAGCAGAAGGATCTCCTGCTCAGCCTATTAATGACGAAACAGACCTTCAAAAGCTGGAAATATTGGAATCTCGTCAGTGACTAGGCTTGAACAAAATTATCTCAATTTTATTGTA